TGGTTACATTGTTTTGTTAAACAAAATATYACCAATTGGATTCACCTTGCATAGAAATGGAAACAAGTGCAAATCAGTTATTTCACTTCACCAACCAAAACCCACGGCTACTTTCGGTCGTGCAATTGCCGTTCGACAATTGACATTCGCCATTTTATCAGACAACCTTTTTTGAAATAACTATATATAACGATGGATATTATCCCTCGTTCACTTTAGATATTTACCGAGCAAAGTCGAGGCAGTAGAGGACAAGCATGTCAGGTTTGTGTCGTGCGGTGCCGAACACACCGCATGTACGGTCACTAGAGCCTGGGTACCGGACGAAGAAGTCAAGACTTGTATGGCATGTAAAATCAAATTTACGACTGTCAGGAGACGGGTGAGTAGAAGTGGTTGTTGTTACCCTATTTCACTATGACGGCACATAGTGACGTCAGAAATGGACAGAATGACATCGAGACCAAGAAGAACACGATGGAGCGGCATTTATTGACCAGAGACGAGGCGAATGACAACAAATAACTATAAATATTGTTAGGCTTTCATAAAAGTTGATGATGATAATGATTTGATGATTATCTTTTCATGTCCCAAAAGCACAAAAAACTGATTTATCACTGAACATTTCCGAGAGATATACACTTTCAAGTTTCCAGCATTTAATGTAAATTGTAATGTTTGTATGTTGTAGCATCATTGTCGCAAATGTGGTGGTGTTTTCTGTGGGGCTTGTACTTCAAAACGTATTCCTATTCTAAGTCTTGGATACAGCAATCCAGTTCGTGTCTGCGAGAAATGTTACACTTTGATATCTGGGGATTCATGAATGCTTTAGAATCTAATCATGAAAAATGGTGGAAAAGACACGTCCGTATATAACAGTGAAATGCAACAAGGAAGGGATATTTTACGGAGATATAAAGCTAGATATATTTTATGTGTACTTGGAACTGTGGATATGGACCTCAGCCTAGGGAAAAATTGCCCAACAAATCCTCAACCTTGTAAAATTGTCTTACTAGTATGGAAATCCAGCGTGACACGAAGAAAAAAAGAAAGGGATGGGTATTTTTGTAACTATAACTACCAAAATGGGTGCAAAGATTTGATTGAGCCAGAAATGGATCACCAAAAGAAGAAAAACACAGTAGGGACTTGTTGCTATACCGTTACCTGGTTACATCCATTTTATTCAGTCCGTCTTTTCCATCAGGAAATCAAACACCACGAGAAGGAAAAACAATCACGAACAGACTGTTTATGAACAAATGTGGAAAGTAACAACATTTGATGTAAGCTAAAAACCAAGAGTACCGCCGGCATAATACACAACGGCGATTTTGCCTAAATAATCCGAAGCATTGTGGAAAAAGGTCTAAATTTCTTATAAATGGATGATAAGTAATATATCTGACAATTGTGTCACTGAATCCAAAGCTTGAGAAAACGCACAGCTGGAGAAAAACGTCCCGAAGCAAATAACTTGAAGAAAGTCATATTTTCATTTTACCAGCAGTAGGAGTCCGTCCAGCTCGACACGAATTATTGATACATTAAAGTGTTTATTATATCAATGAAAGCGAAACTATATGAAAGAACATTCAAGAACATTGTCCATGCCGTCCGTGAGTGTGTCAGTCAGGTTTTCCATGGCTGAGTACTGACGTATTGATACTCTACGAAAAACAAACGCACGTCCTCCGGCCATATTAATTAAAACTGAGAAAAAAAGCAAGTTTAGAAGATACCTCCTACATGCTAAATATTAATACTAGCAGAAAAGTGGTCATTGTAGGCAAAAGGGTTAGGTAACTTAAGATTGTGCGGAATATCACGAAGTCAGAAGTATATATAAACATTGTCACGTTGAGATGGTGTGTTTGTAGTCAGCCATTGTGACTGATTCCTTTCCGTTCGTTATTTGTGTGGTTTCTGTCGTCGCTGTTATGGCCTAAGGGCACATCATTACAACAAAACATTTCTTTATCAAATAATATATATATATATTTAGCATTCTACCAGCTCGATATTGTAAAGTTGTATGTGAATTTTTTTATTGTAAGGTAAACTGCAATTGTTTGAATTGAATTCATTTTCTGTATTACTTCATCCATCTTATGCTTTCTCTCAATGTCAGCAGGCAGAAGACTTCATGGCTATGATGGCTATGTATTATATACTAAAATAACGAGCCTTTTAAAGAAAACTCTGATTCCGACTTTTAGTAAAAGAAATCTATGTAATTACCATTTTTGCGATGTAAATTATCAAAGTCACACCAATGTAACATAGCAAACGAAACACTTACGAAGTTATAAACTTACAAATTTATTCGGTAGAGTGACTATTATATGAAAATGCAAATTTCTGTGTCCTTCTAATGTGTATTATACACCACTTTAGATATAATGGTTGACAGAAAGCTGACGTAATGTCAAAATGGTAGACACGTTTTGATAAATGGTGCTGTAGTTTATTTTTTGACAAAATCGCTCTGTTTTCTTCTTATATTTGTATAATAGATTTGTTGAGCTGACCTCGTTATTTAAATCTGGTGGTAGGATAAAAAGAGTGGGACAGAATGTTCAATTTTCCGGTTTTTCTTATAATTTCCTAATGGGAATACTCTGGGGGATGACTATAAATTGAGGTAATTAAACGAGGATGCATTTCTAAGTATATTTTTCTAGGTTTGGGTAAATAGTTGGTGATGTTTACCGATCAATCTTATTTGATGATAGTAAGAATCGAAGTACGAGCCTATCAGAGAGTTTGTTTGGATTAGCACCAAGGTAACGAGGAAAACATCGCAACAGCGTTTACTACTCGTGTTTGAACAGCACTTGGATACCAAAAGTACCTCGTACTTGCCTGTTCTCAGGAACTATCCCTACAACTATACTTACAGTAAAATAAGTAGAGAAGGCTACTTTGGGGAAAAATGAGTGCTTGGTCCAGTGGGATTTGCGGCTGCTTTGAAGACATAGGCATTTGTGCTACTGCCTATTTTTGTCCGTGCATTGTTGCTGGGAGAAACGCCGAAGCTGTGGGAGAAAGCTGTTTTGCACATGGATGTTTTTCCACTCTGGGATGTATTGGGATCTTTTGCGGTGCTAAAATCCGTGAAAAAATTCGACAGCAGTACTCTATCGAGGTGGGCATGTTATAATTGATAGGTACACTATATTGGAATCAAATGACGAGTCTTGCATGACAGAGGAGCGTTTGGCAAATATAATTCATGCTCTCTCAGTGATGAAGAGTGCAATTGAAACAATAAACTGACAACAGGTCTCTTTTTTTTCGCTCATGAATATTTTATGTGTTTTTTTTTTTTCAATTCAGGGTTCATTTGGGCACGACTGTCTAATGCACTGGTTTTGTCCAGTCTGTGCTTATGCTCAAGAAGCTAGGGTAAAGTTTATAACTTGTTATTTAAAGCTGTGATTACCCTCCCTAGTCAGTATCCAAAATGTCTCTATTATATATTAAGCTATTTAACCAGAGTGACAGGTGTCACGGACTCCATTTATCGAAAGTTCTGCATACTAATTCAGCAAATTTTCATAATTATCTAAGGACGCTTTTGTTCTTATGTTATTTATATGTTGAAGTTAGCTACGCTAATAATAATACGCTATAATGTCTTCTGATTGGTAGGAAATCAAGTCACGTGTGCCCGCTGGAGCAGCAATAGTGCGTTCCTAATGAATGCCACCATTTTGAAGAGTTCAATGTCAAGTAGCTATTCCAAGTTATTTTTCTATTCCCAAAATTATATTAGCTTGACAATGAGTGAAATCGGTACTTATTCCACTATACCCGACTCTTCTGATCAATTACGTAATGAATTTACCATTATAAACTTTCCAAAAAAGATCCCATCGAAAACTGACATTTTCCACACGCTAAATCCGTGAAACAGTATGTATTTCAAAAATAACAATTTATATAAGTATGAAAAAAGCTGTTCAGTATATGTCTTCGTGAATATAAAGGAAAGGTCAGTTTAGGGTGCGTTGGGATGAGTCATGCGCAGTGACGCCTTTTGTACAGCAAAGAATGGTGGGACTTGTACTCCTCGCATATTTTTTAGTTTCTTCAAATTCTCCCCAAAAGCCGTTTTATGCTTTTCTTGTAGAGACTGCTCAACTTCGTCTTGTTTTGCAAATAACAAGCAAATTAAAACAGCTTACTGGCTAGACTGTTTTAGTGTACATGAAAAAGTCAGAGGACTACAACTTTTACAACTTTATTTTAATCATAGTTTTGTTGCACAAAATGGCGTCGCTGCACGTTGTGAATTTGTGACATTTTTTATTTATTGTAAGGTTAATCAGTTCTTTTAAAGAAAAAAAGAGAAGAACCTGATTATTTTAATTGAATGGACTTTCTCTATTACTTTAGACTTTTGCAGTTGCTCACAGTAAGATATTGATCAGTAAACATCACCAACTATTTACTCAACCTTAAATAATATACTTAAAAAGGCATCCTCATTTATTAATCACCTCAATTTATAGTCACTCAAACACCCCCAACAAATCTGGTATATAAGAAGAAAACAGAGTGTTAAAAAAACCTACAGCACTATTTATCAAAACGTGTCTACCATTTTGACATTACGTCTCAGCTTTCTTTCAACCATTATATCTAAAGTGGTATAATACACGGCATTAGAAGGACACAGAAATTTGCATTTTCATATAATAGTCAAATTACCGAATAAATTTGTAAGTCTATAACTTCGTAAGTGTTTCGTTTGTTACATATTTAACATTGGTGTGACTTTGATAATTTACATCATAAAAATGTTAATTACACTAGATTTCGCGGAGGTTTGCTGAAAGTGAATGGGGGTTTCTTTGAAGGCTCGTTATTTTAGTATATAATACATAGCCATGGAGTCTGCTATGGTTACAGAGGCTTCTCTGTGTCTTTCTCTTCTTTGTCTAAAAATATCTCCGCTTCATGGAGCTAGGGTAGGGGTCTACTGCCTGCTGGCACTTGACAATAGTAAGAATCGAAGTACGAGCCTATCAGAGATTTTGTTTGTATTAGCACCAAGGTAACGAGGAAAACATCGCAAACGTTTACTACTCGTGTTTGAACAGCACTTGGGTACCAAAAGTCGCTCGTACTTGCCTGTTCTCAGGAACTATTCCTACAACTATATTTACAGTAAAATAAGTAGAGAAGGCTACTTTGGCTGAAAAATGAGTGCTTGGTCCAGTGGGATTTGCGGCTGCTTTGAAGACATGAGCATTTGTGCTACTTCCTATTTTTGTCCGTGCATTGTTGCCGGGAAAAACGCCGAAGCTATGGGAGAAAGCTGTTTACTTTATGGATGTCTTTCAACTATGGGATGCGTTGGGATCTTTTTCGGTGCTAAGATCCGTGAAAGAGTTCGACAGATCTACGCTATTGAGGTGGGCATGTTATAATAGTGATAGGTACACTTAGGGCGAGTCTTGCATGACAAAGGAGCGTTTGGCAAATATAATTCATGCTCTCTCAGTGATGAAGAGTGCAATTGAAACAATTAACTGACAACAGGTCTCTTTTTTCACTCATGAATATTTTATGTATTTTTTTTTTCAATTCAGGGTTCGTTTGGGCACGACTGTCTAATGCACTGGTTTTGTCCTGTCTGTGCTTATGCTCAAGAAGCTAGGGTAATTAAAAAGTTCTTATAAAACTTTGTAAAATGTTATTTAAATTTGTGATTGCCTTCCCTAGTGCCCAACTTGGATGTCTCTATCATAAGCTCTATCATATATATCGCCTGACAGGTGTCACGACCTCCATTCATCGAAAAGTTCTGCATATTAATTCAACGAATTATCTAAGGGCGCTTTTGATCTTATGTTGTTTGCATGTTGAGTTATAGAGCTGGCCTAATTAAATTATGTCTTCTGATTGGTAGGAAATCAAGTCACGTGCGCTCGCTGGAGCTACAATAGTGCGTTCATAATGAATGCCACCATCTTGAAGAGACTAAATTTAACTATTCCAAGTTTATCAGGCTGACGAAGGACCTAATATTGCATGTTTCTATTATTTTTCTTTTCTCAAGCTAATATTAGATTGACAACGAGTGAAATCGGTACTTACTCCACTATACCCGACTCCGTGAAAGTTCCCATCGAAAACTAACATTTTCCAGACGCTAAATCCGTTAAACAGCATTTATTTCAAAAATAACAATTTGCATAAGTATGAAAAAAGTGCTGTTTAGTATATGTCTTGGTGAATATAAAGGAAAGGTCAGTGACGCCTTTTGTACAGCAAAGAATGATGGAAGTTGTACTTAGTCTCGCATTTTCTTATAATCCCTTTAAATTCTCTCTAAAGCCGTTTTATGCTTTTGTAGAGACTGCTCAACTTCGTCTTCGAGAAGCAAATTAAAACAGATTACTCATGGCTATACTGTGTTATGTACATGACTTAAAAAAAGTCCGAGGAATACACTCCCGGCTTTATCATGCTTTGTTGCACAAAATGGCGTCGCTGCACGTTGCCTTTGATTCCATTCGCAGCACCTATAACATTTATACGTATTAACCAGTGTTTTGGATTTAGTCGCAGACTCCACGAAATGCTAGACTTCTGGGAAGGGTTGTTCAAAACTTAGTGTTCCAAAGTTATACCTGTATTGATGTTAATCAGACTTTGAACAATCCGACCCTGAAAACCATTGATCTCCTCTCTTAGTCTATTAAATGCATGTATTATTAATTTACCAAAATTAGATATTTTCCTGTTTCTTTTTCAGTTTTTTTTTAAAGAGTTTTTAATAAACATCAACACAATGATATTACAAAGATCCACAAACTTATATAGGTATATTATTCTTACTTACACGGGCTTTAGGAGACTCCATGTTTTGAGTTGTGAGAAATTCTTGTTCATGGACAAAATAACACGCTAGATTTACTTACTTGAGTTTTTTATTGCTAGTCAAATAAGCTTGTGATGAATAAACATGAATTTATGGTCTGCTGAGTCCATTTCTTTCCATATTTATAGTAACAGTTACGACTAACCGCCATCTTGAATTTTACACTGGTATTCACCAGTCCTACGCGATTCTCTAACTTAACCCCCAAACATAAAAATCCCCAGGGTAGGCTCTAAGTGGGCATTGCCCACCTCTCTGCCAATGGGATCGATGGATTTTGTACCACGTGATCATTTTGAATCGTCCAAAGCTTGATGCAAGCTGTGTCGTCATCTAAAATTTCGTCCCTCTCGCATCGGGGTCACAAGTAAAATGCTTACTAATACGTTCTTCATCTCTGAATTACATTGCTATCATTATATTATGATGTTAATATTGATCAGTACTACAATATCTAGATTTTTGTTGGAGAGAAAAAATAAAATAAACAAAAAAACAAACAAACAAAAATAATAATACTCAAAGATAAATTAACTATAAAATTCCATGAATTCTAGGGGTTTGAACTCTATTTGTTATATTTAATTTTTTTAGTTGTATGCAAGAAAGCGGCTCGAGATAATTTAGATTCTTTTGAACTGTATTTCGTTTTCATGAATATTGTTATAACATTGTTTCACGGATGAATTACGCTTACTATGTTTTATGTCTTTCTCTGCGTGAAATAGATTGCCTCTAGATAGTTGTGCTAAGTCTTTTGTTTTCCCGTTTTAGAAAACAAAGGAGTTGCTTCTACTACCTAGGGGGCATCATGTTCCTAAGCCATAATATGTTTGTACCTCTGTCAAGCTAGTGTTCACCCATTAATCAGTCACCCTCTAATAGATCCCATAATAAATTGTCCAATTCTGTTTTCCCCTCTATCCAACACTCTATTCCTCGGCCAATTTCTATGCGACCAGTTGTGAAATTCCCGAGGGTGACGGCTTATATACATGTGATAAATATTGAAATAAATACAGCGAAACATCTATGTGTTTTGTTAATTGCACTGATGGTATCATTGATTTTGTGCAACACAGTCTGGCACAGCTCCTCTCAAGGTAATTAATTTACTGACTACGTTTTCTAAAGCGCTTCGGACTAGATATATTAAAGGTATCAGCGTTCTACCCATAATATGGGATTGATATGGTATCCCATTTCTATCACCTGATAATAATCTCGTGTAGGGGCGGATCCTTTTTTAGGTATTTCAACTTTTCATAAAATATCTTTTCATAATTATATCATAAAAAAAGACAATAAAAAATGTTTTTCTGTATTATGAAATAACTTTCAAAAATGGAATCTGTGATTCCTGAATAGATTCAACCTTGGGCTTCCACTCCTTCCGGTGGTGTATAGTAGAAAACAGATTCGGACCTGGAGGACTGGGAGCGAGGTTGAAAACAGCTGCTGTTGGGTTTCCTGTGTTCGCTATGCCAATCTGTCAACAAGCTACAAACTAAGCGGTAATTTTAGGGATATTAATCTTACTTCACTTGATCATTTTATCCAAGAAATGGCGTAAAGAGCTGGCTAGAAGCACAGGATTATATTTAGTCGTTAGTTTAGGACAATGTCGAATTAAATCGTCTGTCGGATATTGTCAACAAGAGCAACGATGTTTTGGTGGCGACGGTCGTTGAGGAAGCTTGCCGACCCATATCGTTTTGTTCAACTCATAATTACGCCGTAACAGCGTTTAAAATGGGTCAAGACCTTTCTAAACATAGCAAAGTGTCTGGAAGTTATGACTCTTTGCACCTCAACAAGCTAAAAAGTCTGCAATGTAATCGAGCTACCTCAAAATGTAAGTACGATGTCACGTACACAATACGAGTAAAGTCCAAGCCTTAACTATACATAAACAGGGGAGAAAAAACACAATTCATTAGATTTGTAATAATGTTTCCAACTTTGTTCTTGGAATTACAGGGTTAAAACAATTTTTATGTGCAGTTTGAATCATCTGAAGTAATGTAAAGGTAGTACTTATAAAGTAACTAAATAAAAAAGCAGATGTTACGAGTGGCAAGATATTTAAATATTTTTCTTATTGGAAATTAAAAATCATTAAACCTCCAGATCTGTTGATTTTAATTTCGAAAATGAAGTTATATCAACATAGAACCTAAATTACAAGCTATGTGGCAAACATGAGTTCATTATTCATATTGTGGTTGATAGAATTTGGTTTCCATGCACCTTGAATCAAAACAAAACTGCAGCAATTCTTCATTAGTAAAGCTGGAAACATTTCATGGAAATTACATTTTAATGATCATAATTAAGTAAAATTTGTTTTTAAAAATTTATGAAATTTAATAACTTCCTGCATTAAAAAAGTTGTTAAATTTCATACATTTTTAAAGAAAATTGTTCATGATATAGCTTATCAAACTGGCAGTGAGGAGAAAAAATGCTAATATTGCTGCTGATCTAATTTCGACTGCACTAACGTACCACATGTTAAAGAAGAACAATTAAAATCTAAAGTTCTCATTCATAATCTGCTCTTCTCCATCTTGTTCTTTTATTTATTTATTTTCCCACCTTTCAAGTTTGTTTATCCATCCACATTTTATCTGATCTTTCATTCATCCATTTGTTCTTTCTTAGTCATTCAATCCCATACCCTCATTTCATTGGACAAATATTCATCCTCTCATTCATATATCCGTGCAATCATCCACTTTCATTCATCAGTATGAGTCCATAATTAAAATTCATATAATCAAAACTTGTTTACCAGAGCCTTAATTTATTTGCCTTATATTTACAGTTTCAGAGAAAGAGTTGAACAGTTTGATAAGATTATTCTACAATCTAGCAGCATTGTCTCCACAACATAATTACATTGATAAACCAACATTGTAAGTGCATTAAAAACTATGCCTGTTTATTTTGAAACGTCTTCAGAATATTCATAATGAAACATATTCAGAGTAAGCTAAATTAAAGGTGAATCTTTTTTTTAAATGAATGTACTTAACCACAGGAAGTGGAGTCTGAAGAATAGTCGTGACGATAATTAAAAGATTATATTACTGTGTTTTTGTTTTTCAGTGAACACTACTTCCCACTAGGAGGGATATTGGCTAGAAGGTTATTTGTAGCCTTTGACACAGATAGAAATGGTGTTATTGATCTTCAAGAATTTTTAGGTATGGTGGGCTTTTTATATATTTTTTTTTGTGTTTCTTGTTTGAAATACACACCCCTGAAGTAAAGGTTAAATTTCACATTTCCTTAGTCATAAATGCCACAGGGGGACTCTTATCTCTTTTAATGTTTTCGCTTTTTTACCAGTATTTTTGTAGATGTGCTGGGCTTTTTTGTTTTTTTGTTGTTGTTGTTTTTTTGGATTTGATCATTTAAAATGCTCATTAACTTAGTTTGATCAGGCCAGGCCATAGCGAGAGAGACTAGCTGGGCCATAGTCATTGGAAAATATTTCTATAGACCTAGCTGTTCTGTCCATATGGCGTGACCTTGTATCAAATATTTTCCACTATGGCCCTTCCTAGATTTTCACAAAGTATTTTAGCCTCTCACGGTCACTTACATGTAATTCATTAAAATATTTACTTGATTCTTGAAATTTCATTTATTTTCTGGGAGTCCACAGAGAGTCGGACAGGTGGCAGGTCTAGGCACTCCCACTCAGTTTTAAAATAATTAGTAAAATAATGAATTCTGGTTTTATAGTTTTATATTATATCTAATATTACAATGTAGATTAATGCTTTGATGTAGTAACCGCTATCTTTTAATGCTATCTTTCCATGCCAAGCTTAAATATGTAAAGACTCCAGTATCTTATAAGAGGGGTATAGAATGGTGTCTCAGAAATCACAAGGCTCACCAAAAATTTCCCAAGGCTCACAAGCTCGGCGCTTAAAAAACAAGGGGCTAACATTGCTTTTTGCTCAGAAGCTTGCAATTGCCAAAATATCGGACTCAGAAGCCCAAAGGCTTGGGCTTGGATTGTAAGGGGCTCGCCGGCCAGGCTGGGATTTTACCATTCGATTCCCCTTATAGGGGTATTTTTGAATTTTTTTCAACATTACCCACCCTACAATATTTGGGAATTGTCACTTGGAAGAAAAGCACCAATTCATTATTTGCCTGTTTCTCTCCTCTGGCATCAATCCCCCCTCCCCTCCCCCCCTCAGAATCCAGAATAAAATGTATTTTATTTTGATATAGATGGTATGGCATTATGTCTTCAAGGGTCAGTGGATGAGAAGTACAAAATAGCATTTGAAATGGTAAACTTTTAACTAAAACTTAAAACAGTTATTATCAAATTATTGCAGACACTCAATATAACGTGAGTTTCCTAAATATATCAACAAGGCATGACATAATTTCGTGTTTTTTTTTCTTTCATATTATCCTGGTGTATTTTCAACAGTTTGACATTGACGGTAAGTATGACAATAACTGTAGTTATAAGTTCACAAATTTCAGGAAGCATTTTAATGATCGCAATAAAATTGTCAGCACTTTTTTTGGATAATATTATTTATAATTGTCAACAGTCGTTTTCATTTTCTTTGTAAAAAGATGACAAACGATTTAGTAAAAATTATTGTAATATGGTTTAGTGGGGACAACCTTAATAAGAAAGGATTTAATCTTCAGTACGTAAATATTTACATGTGGTTACCAGGACAACATCAAAAACACGACCATGGCATAGTAATTGCATTTTACTTACTGAAATCTTAAAAAAATAACTAAAATCAAATTCATATCTTAGAAACAAATGGTGTGGCACCTTGGGAATTGCATATGGTACTAAAATCTGTTCTTGCGACTACATCAAGGTATTTTTGAATTCACAATTTTCAAATATTCTTTTTGAGTTTGAACTAAATATCGCCGTTTGTAACTTATATGTGATCTTGGTAAAGAAAGGGTTTTGTCTTTCAGATTATTAGAGAAAAGACTCAGTAAAAAAGGTAGTTTAATTATTTTTTGTTTTTATATCAATATCTCAGAATTATTTTCAACCAACATTAATCTTAACATCATTAAACAAAAAAAGTATGCGACATGCATTTTAATTGCGCTTGCGTCAAGTTTTCCCGCGTGTTTGAAACTGAGACAGGTGCGTATGTACGCTAAATGTATCCAACATTTCTATTTAAACCAAGAAAAAGATTCCAAGCTAGTAATGTTGCAATAAACAGATAGTTAAATGCGCTGCAATATTTTCTCGGTAATCTGAGAAGCAATGAACGAAAAAGCCTCAGATTTCAGAGTCGTTTTGTGGCTAATTACGGAAATTATAAAAAAAAACTATCAAGCTTTCCTCTTCTCCGCCTTCTGAAAAAAGCAGTCTTTCTAAAGTCTCCACAAACGTCATGTTATCAGTTAGTTTTTCTTTTAAAAACACTAGTGCGGGGAACGAAGTTTTATATCTAAGATATATCTGATCGGACCATGCAAACAATTGCAATGTTCTGAGAGATAAGGCACCAAAGTTTTAGGAATCAAAAAGGCACATAGATATGACTGCCGGTCTAATGGTGACTTTTGAATTCGTTTCAGAGTTATCTGAAGCAGAAATGGACTGCTTGGCGCATCGCATTGTGCAAGACGCCTTTAAGGAACAAACGCGAGATATGAACGGGGTAAGTACAAAGTACTCAAAGCTTTCTTGTAGTACTCAAAAACAGAGGTCGCATACGCGCTACCGTTCGATAAAATGTTGGTAATCTGTCTTTGAATGTTTGACCATAAACGCTGCAAATCGTTTAAATGATGCCGTTTTTGAATTGCATTTGGAATCTGACGCATTATCCTTGTGATCTTTGGGCTGCAGACTAAAATTACGTAATCTCCATAAAATATGCCGTGACGTCATGTCGCGTGACATAGTCGTACTAAAAATACGATCACTGATACACTCAAATGATTCTGGCAATGTGGCCGTTGGTCATTGATCCAATGAAGCGAGTTTGAATCCTTTTGAAGTAGAAATATGAATGTTTATCAACCTATTTCTTGTTCCGATGAACAGGTGAGCGTAGAAACTTTGTTACATTTTGTATGAAAGTGTTGGTTATATAATTTCAAAATGTATGTACGAATTTGGGACTCTTTGGGACCTTTGGCCGCTATACTCGAGAACAGGTACTCAAATTAGACCGACGCATTTGATACTCAGCAGTTCTTTCGGCCTATATTCATTACTGATATTTTTCTTTTCCCTTTTCCTTCAGAAAAGGTTGCTTGCTAGTTATGTTTAGTTTAATATGTAAATCTAAAATTTAAGGAATGAATTTTAAAATCGCTTGGCATGACAACACTGCACGGCCAACAAAAATGGAATGTACATAGTACAGTTTTTTTCCTTCAACGACGAATTAAGTAGCATGAATGTATCCTCTTCTTCTTGTTGGAACTAGTATTTGGAACTCTAATTATAAAGAAGTTTAAGGTTAATGAATAATGTAGATACTGAAATGTATCCGTCAATGGTGTTTTGTCACGCAACACTGTCCGGCTTTATTTACGACTTCTCGAACTTTATTCAATGTTTATTAGCAGTCCTATGAATTCGTGGATTGTTGAATATACACACAAAGTTATTGAATTAGGGAGTAAATTCGTTAAAAATTAGGAAACGACTTGGATGAGCGAAGACTTATCGCCTATAATTGTGTATATTACGTGGTATTCGTGTTATTTTTGATATCCGTGACGTACTTGTACCCTCTCTTGCGTATAAATGGCTACAGACACGATCGAACCTTGATCAATACTATAAACTTAGTATATCAATGAATTTTTYGTGGCGGTTTTCACATAGTTCCACATCTCCTTGAAAATAAATAGCAATACAAATACCCTGCTTTTTAATTTGTATGTACGAGGATCCGACTGTTTTCTCGCGTGTAATCTGTTAGAGCTCGTTCTTCATCAAGTAAAATCCCACAAGTGCACAGCGCTACCGCTCTGATATTGTACACGTCAATTTTGAAAGTTTTTCCGCTTCCTCTTCTTCCTCTTCTTCGTTTTGTTGACAAACTGTTTTGATAAAGATATTCTGTTAATTCTTTGCGTAGGAAAGTAAAATGACTTTAAAAGTGTTCAAGACTTGGGTAGAGAAACATCCATTCGTCCTAGACTCGATATTTGGCCACAGTTGTCTCAAAGACAAGAACTTGCAGGTAACAAAAGACACAGCTTCTTACACTTTCCAACTCCTTATTTATTGACGAAGCACCTTTAAAATGCAAGAAAATGTATCCCGATTGTCTTTCATTKTCATTTCTATTCACATTTTTTTAATAAATAATTTATTTTTGTTATTGTCAAGAAGCAGTACGCACGTCTAGGTAGCGAAGAAAACCTTGGTGGGTGAGTATCAGCTGTTTTATATGATTTGTAGCCTTGCAGCCTGGTTGGATGTCAGCCCGGGCTATTATAAGTATGCGGTATGATGTTTTCTTCTGATTTTACTAATGTCGGTTTTCTGTATTGCTCTCTAYTTTTTTCTTGCGTGTTGTGRAGATATTACTCCGTTGCGGAAAATTGCCGAATTTGCAACGCGGGTTACGGTTTTAAAGCACTTTTATGCGCGGAGTTCGGTATGACAACCCGCTATAATAGGCCCCCGGGTATAATAAGTTACTAAGATAACGCTAGTATACCGCCCGTTGTGAATGTTTTACCGAGTAAGAGAACCTTTCTATTTCATAAATATGTAAAGTGAATTATCGCGCTTGATATTTACATATTTAAGAACAGACGAGCGCAATTATATCTATTCTGGGGCTAATTTTTGCTGCAAGATATTGTAATATTCCTATGCAGTTTATCCCTGAAGACGTCTGTAATTCGTTTTCTAGATGGTTTTGTAATAACATTTTTTGTTGTTGTTAGTTTGTCAGCGTCAGTGAAAAAACAAACATGGGTCAGTTCTTCATGGAATCAAAATGAACCTCGCTCTGCAACTAATAGTAAGTGACGGAAAAAAAACTAAATAAATAAAAATGAAAATATTGCACAGCAATAACCCACGTATAGGGTGCTTTTCCATAAGGTTACCCTCACAACAAAACCCAATATCTTGAAAAATCCAAACTGGCAATAATACCCATCACCCTGATGGGGCATCGTGATTATCACATGACCAGTAGTATTATTGGACATTTTGGCTCCGATATAATACAATGCATTCAAAACACTATTATTACAATAGCGATTTAATATTTTTCTCAGCTTCGACAGGCAATTCCTATGCCAAATCAGACTATTTATGGAGTCCTGTGTTTGCTAAAATGAACGCCAAACCTTCCAAACGATGTAAACTTGCAGCTTGCGTCGTATATGATTCAGTGTTCGTTTACGGTGGGCGTGGTATATGCACGTCACTCAAGGATATGTGGAGATATGATATAGGTAAYTATTAGGGATTATTATAGCTTATTTTAAAATCACCTGTAGAGTTTTAGTTATAAAATGAAGTAATTTCGTTTTAGTACATTTAGGAAAGTTCAATTGTTTCCTGTTTTTAGGTGAAAATACGTGGTTTCCTGTGGAAGAACGGGGAGAAAATCGACCTTCGTACCTTCAGGAACACACCATGCTATCTTATAAGGTGAATGCGAATTCTGTAGATATGGCCGCATTTGACAGACTCACAAGATATGTTAATGTTTTTGGTTTCCATTCAATTAAATACATTTTTTCTCGGTTGCAGAATAATTTAGTTGTTTTTGGAGGCGAGTTCACGTCATTGAATGAAACACCACTGTGGTTTTTTGACTTGCGTAAGTATGCTTTTTATAATTTACGTATTCATGTATRCGCATTTGACTTAAATTTTGACTTATATAAGAATTAACATATYTATTTTACGTGAATCATTTTCAGTGGCATTTGATAAGAAGTCACGCGTCTTATGACTTACSGAAGTATGAGCCACTGTTTTTGACTTACGCAAGTAAAACAAATGCGTTGGTTGACTTACGTACAGTKTGAGACGCCAATGCGCACTGCGAAGCCTATAATCAGTGCTGCTGTTTCGTACGTTTCATTTTGATATCGTKTATGATTTTATTCTATCAGATACGTTCACGTGGTCGAAGCCATTTGGCGAACAGAAGGTAAGATAATCGTCTTTAACCAGCTAAATTCGACAAAATATGGTACTGGGAATTCTAATTGTTTCGTTTGTGGATCGTTCCCAGGGACCTGTAAACCGTCGAGGTCACACGGCTGTCATTGCTGGCGATGTAATGTACGTTTTTGGTGGCTACATCGACCTTAGAGGCGCCTCAAAAGAACTGTGGAAATATGACTTTTGTAAGTTGATTTATTATGACATATAAAATAGCATATCCGGCATTATTCGAGTCTGCTTTTGCTGATATTCGCATTGAAAATTCAGCGACTAACGCAGATATAAATAGAGGATCTGCACGGAACCGTGCCCAGGCACGACCACTTTTACTTCGTCCTTCCCTTGATGCATCGCGGGGCGTGCACAACAGCAAGCGAGGCGACTGGGATCTATACTATCTTTAACACGTACGAGCAGTCACGTTGACTGGGCTTTTCGACTTCTATTTCAGCTACAAATGTTTGGACAAGAGAAACGATTCAGTCACGATGGCCAAGCCCGCGGTATTCCCATTCAGCGGTAGTATTTGATAGAAGTATGGTGATATTTGGTGGGTTGGAGGATATGCAGCTAAAAAATGACATGTGGCTCTGGAACATGGGTAAGAYAATAGTTCTCTCACTCTTTTAATTTACTTTTTTTTGTCTAAATTACCTGTATATTACAATACAGGCCTCTCTTGTTTTCTTGAGGTACACGGCGAAGCRACCGCCTTGGTTTCCCTTCTTACAACCTTATAACATTATGTTTGCGTTTGTGTGTCTTGTAGCGTCCTGTAAGTGGAGCAGAATAAAAGGCAAGAACTCTCCTCCTCCACTWTTCGGTCACACTGCAGTCAAGGTCGGCGATGGTATGATTATTTTTGGTGGAGAATCGACAGACGGGTCTTTGCACAACACTCTGTGGAGATTTAACTTTGGTACGTTGTGTTGTCTTTCTGTACATAATACATTAATTTATTAGAAGGCACACCCTCAATGAACGGGCTTTTGAGAGCTGGACAAAGTGGTTATGCTTAGTTGTATAAAATGGCGTCGCTACGTATTCTCAGTTTCAATTCATGTTTTGGTTTATTCATTTGTTCTGTTTACCATTAGTATGCCGTAGGTCCGATCTGTTTACATCTTTTCTGTCAATTTACTCAGTGCCGACTTTCTGCCTGCTTGCTCATCCCTTAGTCTCCTTCGCAGCCTGCCTTTGGGAGGGACAGGAAGCCCGAAAAAAAGGGTTGTCTGCGAAGGCTTTCTTTTAATACAAATTTACCATATGTAATTTAGATTCTCAATCATGGACTACTATTACACCCAAGGGTATGATATCTCCACCACCTAGAAGYTACCACTCCTTAGTCCAGATTCCTCATTTTATCTTTACGTCTCGACGTCCAACGTCTTCACGTTCCGCCCCGCCTTGCACGCCGGGATACGACCGTGAACTACCAAGACTTGGAGAAGGAAATGAACCCGACGAAGTTACCGAACTTGATATCGGTAAAACACTGAGCTCGGTGGTATCTCTCGGCTCTCTCGACTCGACAGCTTTACTCTCGCAAACTGACGATGAAATAGTACGAATTAAAGTGAGTACAACAGGTTCTCTGGATTCATTGATTCCTAACAAAAGTTTACGAGAAGCTGAGAACATGTCTATGACAAACCACGACAGAATATGTGACGTTAATGATGATGAAACTTTAGGTAGTGAAGAAAACACAACATTAAAACAYARTCATTCGTGTACAAAGCCTAAATCAGCTTCTATAAAAAAGACGAACAATTTATTAAAGCCCACCTATGGTGTGATATCACTACGGGAACAGCTCAAACCACAGAGTACGAATTATTTGTCACMMTCAACTAAAGCGACTTTTTGTCGYTCCACTCTCGACGAGGATGCAATGCAGTCAGCGATAGTTAATTTGATGGTACTTGGAGGGACGTCMAAGAGGGGGATAGAGAGTGTTGACCGATGGATCGATATGTGGAAATGTCAAATTGATCCAGGTACGTTGGTTAAAAAGGCTTGTACAATTTAGTTCATTGAMTGTACAGGTCAATWTTTTTGTTCTASATTATTATTCTTAGTGYACACGTTATGTCATAGCCGCCATGTTGTTTTAAAATTACCCAGAGTTCCTCATTTTATTGAGTGAAAAACTCTCATGTTCATTCATSTAACATGGTGGCGAAAACGTGTTGTTCTTTCTTTGGTTTCTTGATCATCTAATTACACACCAAGAAATATTTATTACATTTGGTAAAAAAATAAAACGCCTTTCATGAATAATCTTTTCTTGCGTTTTACAGAGAAACAARGCTCCGGTGTTAAGCGTATTGAAGTTGAATGTACCGAGCCTTCCCAATACAGCAGCACAAAGTCTTATGACAGCACAGTGGCATATGTGAACTTTAACATAACAGACAATKCAATTGATAATGAGTATTACGATGACAGCGACGAGAATGGTGACACAACTATCAAAGCTGAATGTGTATTGATGGATATGTTAGACGGAGACACAGACACACTTGATAAGACATTAGGYGATCAAACCGCTGTCCATAGTAATTCCATGACTACGGTCTCAATATAATTGATCTAAAAAGAGTCATTTGTGGAGCAAATGTTTCAGAAAATATCAGAATTTATTTGTATAAATATGTGTTCAAATGTATTCAAAGTTTTATATATATAATGTGTTTATATAAATATCAGAGTTATTTGATGAGAATGTTAAGTTTATATATTTTATTTTGAAATCTTCACAGTGTCTATATATGCAAATGTTATTAATTCTGTTCAAATATACTTTAATAAAGAAATGAAAATTCATGTCTGAGTATTTYTTTCTATGATTGATGATCCCAGTAACTTCTTTACATGTTTCGAGYTTCCTGTGGCAAAACAAGAACGCTGCAGACAAACCAAGGATTATGTCTTTTGTAGATGTAGGAAAAGTACGATTACTGATTAAGGACTGGACCTGTTCTTTCGCACTAATATCCTACTGAGCACTTGTCARTCGTGAAACATATTCAGGACTCGACTACGACATTGCTGGTTTTCAATCATTCCCCTGACATTCAAATGAAAAACCCTTTATTGAAGTACTTCCAAGATGGCCGCTGTGACTGACTGAAGTAACCTGAAAACCAGCAACAGACGATTTCCGAAATTCGCTTTCAAATATCACATGAAAAGGCGAGATATTTTTTTGAGAAACGCCGAGGCATCCGGAAATCGCTTATTGCGCTTTTTATCGTTTTCATGAAATTTCGATTATAAGCCCGAAATTTTCCTCGAAACGAGAAGAGCAAACACAGAGGCATGGTGAAACAACTTAAACATATTGCCCATAATCCTCATCGRTGTTCATGCATCCCAATGCAATCCCCTGCGCTAAAATCACTGTATTACCGTCCGGGTCACGTGTCCACCACGTGCCATCATCATTCGATACTACCTTATATGGTAGTGCATTCTGTAAAAGTAACACATCGTTTACCAGGAAACGCAAATGAGTAGACGCGGTTGGTTCAGATAATAAACACGGCGAGTACTTCAAAGATAGTTGAATTTCAAGTCCAGGCTGCGAGTAGATGCGAAATAAACAGAATCCTGGTTTTCTAAACTGGRCGTTTTGCCCGAGAACCGAGCTATAAAACTGTGTCATTTTATCCAGGTCTTTMACAAAGATGTTAAACCTGAGCTGCTCATTACCACAGTGAATTGAGCAAATGCTCCACAATGGAAAGTGATGTCTTGGGGCACATTCGTAGTACTCTTGTCGAGCTACCGTGCGAAAATCGTGGCTGCTTGTTAACTCTATCTTATGATGGAAAGTCCATGGTGAAGAGGAAAGGTAGTTCCTGGCAGCAGCTGCTGTRAGTTGGCTGTGCGCGTCATCACGAAGGAAAAGAATAACACTGAGAGCTTGAGTAGAAAGGCCCATGGTGGGCARYGAATCGATKGAATTGCTGGACATTTCGCGGGTTTTTTCATKYTCCRTACARYTTTCTATCTGTATCAAYTGAAAKGTTGGGTCGATACCCTGGAGAAGAGGCGTATACAAGGTTTTGAGATATTCTGCTTCTTCAGTTGTTGCACGAATTCTAAGAGTACATTTGTATGGATCGGAGGCAGTCTGAACTTCAGAGTGATGTGGACTTTTCGATGACGTAGTTTCATACCATGGCACTTCGTCGGGCTAAAAAAAATAAGACTTTTGTTGGGCTGTAGACGGTTATTTCTCTACCTCCCCCTTCATCCCAATGCATCACTCTTACCTCATCACGCATCCAGGCCGGCATGATGACGGCTCTCAGACCTCTCAATCCCTTTCAATCTACACAAGATGACAAAGACAGTTTTATTTGCGGTATGACTTTAGAGAGAGTCCTGCTGGAGTGCGTGCAGGAAGTCAGTGGCTTTTCAAAGAATCGAAATACCTACTCGCACCATTATAGTATTTGCATAAATATGAACTCTAACAAAGGTCATTAGCCCACTCAAGACGTCTAATCAAAACAATCAAAACAGCGATTAATATCCTTAGTTGGTGCGAGAACCGCGAACAAAAAAATTCCGGCCTTGTGTTGGAATCATAACGACACACTAAACTCCAATTCACAAGGTTAGTAAAAGTCAGTTGATTTATATAATAACTCTTTTGGGTCCATGTTTCTGTCTAGCTTCCCTATCCGTATCTTCTGCAACTTGACACGGATAGTAACTTCTCAAAGAAGTCATTTGTTTATAGTACTTTATAGCTTGTTCTACATTTGAGCACATTATTGATTGTTTTGATGTTATAAGGTCAAAACCACAGGAAATCTCTAATCAAACACCTGGACCACTTTCTGCGTCAAGACTTGACTGGCCGAACCTTCATAGTAGTTGGAATAACATACATGTTGGTATAATTTGAAGAAACTATCACATCCTTTATTTATTTACTCTGATCAACGACATGATGCGCATAAATTGCGTCATAAAGGTTTATGCGCGTGGTACCCTAATCTTGCTAAAAAAAAACGCGCGAGTTATATACTGCAATTTCGATTTTGCTGCTGTGTTAGCCTCAAAACAAAGAACGTATCCTCGTCACTCATTCATGGCTCTAGAAACGTATGGAATTTGTGAAGAAAGACAATGGAATTGCTTTGAAACCTCGTGCTTTTATGCTCAAATTTAGGAATATTTTGCACACAAATAAGGCAAACACAGACAATTAAAAAWTCGAAACTGGAGTAGTCATTGAAGTGAAATTTGGACTTCTGCACCTACTAGTGAGATGTTGATCAACTATAGTTTAATAAAAAAAGTCTACGAATATCCATCCAGTCGCCTGATTGTACAGAATTGCACAAGAGATCATAAAATAAAGACTATTCTTACATCGCAAAAGAAAACTGAAATATCGTCTTTTAAAATATTTGGAAAAATATGATTATGTTCACCGAGCAACCTTTACGGGATCAAAATGTCACTTAGTGAATTTCTACAATCGTTCTTATAATCCATCAGTATGTAGTTTATAATTGCCGTACAGAATCAACATTTCACTTCGTTTTGTACAGACAATATGCATCCATCCTCAAAAATGAAGTCTGTGATAATGTTTGGCAGTATATAGACGGTTATCAAATCGTCCGTGAATAAATTCCCGGAACTCTGACAAGCTTGAAAAACGGTAGTTTAAAGTTTGCTAGCATACCAGCTAACAGCAAATGTTTGTTATGTTAAGCAAGGAATTGAGAGGCGGTGAAATAAGTCAAAATATTTGAAATATTCTCAAATTGATTCCCTATAGAACTAGAGGAATGGCTTACTGGGCAACAGTACCAGGTTTTGGGAAACTATATCAAAAACGGCTGTGATTCTACAAAGCATGCGGTCTTGATACTAAACTAAACAAATAAACCATTCAACTTACCTAAARCTTTACTTTTAGTGCGAATTCAGTGTAATAAGATCTTCGTTTTGATTGACTATGGATGACCAAAGCAGCGAACGTTATAATACAAAAGTCAGAAAATACTGCACCGCCGGTCACGTCCAACGAAGTTCATGTTTTCCTCAARTTCTCGTGTTTATCTTTGCCGTCAAAGGTCTCTTTTCATTCCTTGACAGCGGGCTCAAATTAAAAGACTTATCGTTTGCACAAAGCTTAACTTGTGTAGATATGGTTTTGATAAAGGGYTCGTTTGTTGACTRCATTGTACATCAAAGAAAAKTAATTAATCAATCAGATGTTTTTTCGCTGATTCCAGTTTACTGGAATTTTCAATTAACTGACTACCACTATTTGATGACATTCTGTTATGTATAAAAAATTGAACACTCTTACAAGTTTGGTCAATTTGATTATATATTTTCTTCAACATCGACACACGTTTAATAAAACTATACCCTAAAAATACTATGTATTTTTCATAACATTTTGTCTCTGGAGAAACACTGATCTCCACTCTGGCGCCTTTTTAGGCCACAGTGCACATTTGGTCAACATCAGATATGAAGTCGATGTGTGTACGAATTGATTCGGTATAGTTGAAAGAAAAAACAAGGCATAAATATCAATTGTCTTAAACTATATGACACTTGACATCTTTTTATCTCTTTTTCTGAATTGAAGGATGCATAAGAACTGAAGTCTATATGCTGGTGAAAAAATTCTCTAGATGTTCAAAACAACATCATGAAGATCTTTTCAAAGTCTTTCTACAGTTTCAGCGAATATCAAAGATAGCTGTTTTGTATTTGATAAACAACGCGATACAGTAGAGTATGCCAACACGACCGCCATCTTGTATTTATTTAATACGATTTTGCGGTGTTATTTCATTATTTCTGGGAATTCTTCRTGACTCTGTAAAACGGTGATGATATCATTYGCTGAACCTTCTTTGAAGAATACGCGATATAAAGAGGTGATCAGTGGAAACCTGAAAAATATGAATACAATATTAAATAATTCTCATTCCCCATTTATTAACAGTTAAGAAACATTGGAAAACCTAAATAATGGACCTTCTTAGTGAGCCAATCAGCATTAAAAAAATAGCCAACATTCTCTCCTTCGTCCAATATAAGCAATGCTTACAAACCTGAGGTTACTCGGTACGGTGCGCGCGCGCGTCAATTTGATTTTTCCCGCCTTTTTGTCAGCTAAGCTATTTTTTAGAAGAAAATCAGTCTAACAGACCCAAATGTCATCGTGTCTGGAGTAACTTACTAAAGCACTTCTAATTAATGCAATCAACGTACTTATTTTCCAGATTTTTTGCTTCGATCAGTTCATAAACAGCCTCAAGTGTGTCAGGGCCTGGAAGCTTACGGTGGCGAAGTTCAGGGACTACCGCTTCCAAATCATTTAATTGCTGAAAAAAGGAGAACAAAATAAGAGAAAAACAATGACAACTTTATCCTAAGACCACTGTCTATCTTGACGTCATCAACAATTCGATTTCGACTCAAGAAGATCCGAATTAAGAGACTATATGCTCACTTAAAGTCACTGTCACTGACAAACAACATCATTGAAGACTGAAGAAGTTGTATGTTATCGAAAGGAGTCTTTACCTTTCCGGTTTTTACGAACGCTTCCCCCACCAACCGATGCTTTCCGCCGTAACACGTGACGATAAAGTCAGCGATACCACACGACTCGAAGAACGTGGCCATCTTGGATCCTGGAAGAAAGACGCGCGAAAATTCGTAGGCTTCTTCAAGACCAATTCTTATTACTGCAGCTTTGGTATTGTTCTGATATCTGCAAAAAGAAGACGAAAGCTATAAGGCATTACAATAATAATCAGTTCTAAATAACAGAATATTTGTGCTAAAGGCATGGTTTTTTATCGGTATCTGTATTTTGTTTGAGGGCCACGTGTTAGATAACTCTATGGGTTAACCGTGTCACCCTCCTTAAATAAAGTTTATTGTATTGTATTGTATTGTTTCTGCTTTGACGGTCGAAAGCTTGGATGGCGGTTCGGACCAAGATGCGCCATTGACCCTGCAGAAACAAACTCAGTTCAAATATTTTCAATAGCATTTCTTTGAGTTAATACATTTTGAGCAAATATGATACGCCTTTTTACGTCGAGTTCTGCAACAAAAATGAAAAAAGAAATTGACGGTCACTGTCAAAGACATTATCTAGATGGTTTTCGTTGTAACACGACGCCCTTGTATGGGAAATGTCAACGTTCGAGAAATAGACCACTTTCATTAAATACATTTAGATATTTTGGTTCGATGTACAAAAGAACGCACACGAGGCTCTGGGAAAACAATGGATAATCTTGATTTATTCTTTTATTTCCCCGGAGCCTCGTCTGCAATATTGTTTTGTGCATGGTCACTGAACCAAAATATCTAAAGTCGGCTATTCTTCGAGAGCTTAAGTGGAATTTCCTATAATAAATATAGGTAT